TTCTAACTGAGTTCTCTCTCTCCAATCCCTTTACTCCACATGCCCCATTCTGTTATTTCTCCCCCCATTAGTAATGGGCCTGTCATTAATAGTGATCCTATCAGATTTCAACTTATGTGTTAGTGAAACCTAGCTTTGGGAACATATATTGAGTCATATCAGCTTATATTTTGTACTGCACTGGGGAGAAACTTCAGGACAATGCCGGACTTGGATCCTCTCCTTCATTTTTCTCTCCTCTCCTCTCCTAATTCTCTGTCTCTTAATCTCACTCACTCATCACTAAAAAACAAAAATATAATCAAGAGAGAGAATGAGATTAAGAGAGAGATAGAGAGGAAAGAGAGTGAAGGAGAGAAAAATGGAGACGATCCAAAGTGGAATTTTCCGGTTTTCAGATAGTGTGCACCACTTCATCTGACTGTATTCTAAGTAAATACTGCAGCTATTAGATTAAAGGTAGAACAGACCCTTGGGTTATTTTTGCTTCCCTACTTCCTTTCATATTTGGGTGCTATTTCCCCCCAACCCCTATGACAGTTTTTTCTTAACTATCTTGATCCCATTTCAGTTAACTTAGATCTTTGCCATTCTTTTTGGTTTCTAATTTTTTTTAAGTTGTGTTCAGGTGTCTGGTTTGAAGTCCATCACCTCTAAACACCTGGCGCTAGCAAGTCAAGTCATTAGTTTTATACATGCTATTATTCCTGGTACAAATGCGCACACCTATATTAAGTTTTTTGAATGTGTTGGTATCACAAGAGTTTATGACATTGTTATTACATTTTTAAATTAAAAATAACTTTGTTCTTCATTTCTGGTGTAAGAAATTCGGCAGATTCTTTTTCTGAAAGTACCTGAGACTAGAAAATTGCTATTGCTTTCAGAGATTGATCGAGTCGCTCAGGTATCTACATTATTCCTATTTCACCTTCCTCCATCTGATATGGTAGACTCATGTAGATGTTGTTTGATTTTAATTGCATTTTCAATGAATTTCTTTGCTGGAAGTATTATTGTTTCTTTCTTTTACTGCTTATAGGTGATGAAAATTTATGAATACAATTCCTCGTATAAGGTGAAAATTTACTTAGTAGTTTATTAAGTGGAAATACATTTTTCGGTTAATCACCCTTGCAATGATTCCTCTAATACCTCTACTTTTCCTTTGAGTGGAAAAATAAATATTGTAAAAGAACGGGAAAATTAATAGATAATATTTGAGCTGGTAAAGTCTAAACTCTAAAGTGAAGGAAAATGGGCAAATGTGATAGAAAATGAAAGTGAAAAGAGATATAAAATGGAGAGAAGTCTGGGTGAAGCTTACAATTAAATGCAATGTTGCATTAAAGCTGAGGGTCAGTAGTTCGGATTTTGCAGCCTATAGTTGAATAATGGTTTTAACAAAATGTATGGTAACAGGAACAAGGACCGGCAAGGAACTCTGGATGTTTTAGTCCTGTCTATACTGTAGATCATTTTTTTCTCTGGAACTTTTTTTCTTGATTGATTTCATCATGTTCAAATTCAAATTAATTATTCTCGTCATCAATTAAATTAAACACACTTATAAATGCTTTGAATTGTTTCTGCATGTTTGAACTAGTTGAATAGTTTAGAATGATCAACCTGCTACAAACGGGATGTACAAATACATATATACAGGAGATAATCTCTCAATATATTTCAGCAATATTAAATAGATAGAATATCGTAATTATGACTGTAATCAACACTAAATGTCATTGTTTCTTATTTTGATTTTGCCTTAAATTTCTATACTTCCTTTACCCCCTTCTCAATTTATTAAAAAATTGTTTTATTTTGTTTGCAAGAAAACTTCAAAATATTATAAGAGTGCGTACTTTTGTAACATTTAGCACCTTCATATGATCATATCTTTTTATTCCAGGATTATAAAGTCCATAGAGATGAAATACATACTAAATTGGTTCAGATAATGCGAGAAAGATTATTAGTCCACTTGCGTGGGTTGCCTCAAATTGTTGAGGGTTGGAATAGACCCGAGGATGCTGATCCCCAGCCTAGTCAATTTGCTCGGTCCCTTACAAAGGTAAATAATTCCGCTGATCAACAGAGATGATTGTTATGCTTGGAGTTTATGTCTACAATTTTTATGTGCACACTGTTTGATATCCTTTCATACTTTATCATGATATGCTTTTCTGTTAATACTCATTCCTGAAGTTTTTCAATATTTAGTTTCTGTTAATTAATTTTTATTTGTAACTCTTTTCCTTGTTAATTACTGATTATTATATCTACTAAGTTATAAATTAGTTCCTGGTCAAATTATTTGGTTATCTCACGGGCCTTGCCATCAAAACTATCTTCTGTTAGAGTTTTTGATTTTGAAAGGACATCTTATTATTTTTTATCACTTCAAAATAAAAGATCAACTCCTAAAAGTGCTTGAACTATCAGGTGATGATCACAATGCCTCAATATTGGTTGGTTAAATATGTTAGACAATTGGTTAACTGCAAGTGCCAAGTGATTAAATCAGTTTTTGACAAATATTAAAATGGCATCTGTGAGGAGTCTGTTAAAATTGTTTCTGAATATTGTGAAGACTGCAACTCAGTAACTATACTTCTTTTTTGCCTCAATATTGTGTATTTAACTTGTATATGATTTATGTAGAATTTGTTCTGAGTTGAGTTTGCTGAAATTCAAGAAATTCATAAAGACAAAAATGGAATATGTAACTAACTTGATGTGCTTCTAGATTTGATGGGATGGGTGCTTTTAAGTAGATTAAATTTTTGAGTTCCGCTCATGGCAAATTTGTCACCAAAGAAATCTCATAATCGGAACCTATTTATTTTGCTAATTTGATGTTAGGAAGTTGGATACCTCCAGCGTGTTCTATCTCGGACCTTGAATGAAGAAGATGTTCAGGCAATTTTCAGGTAAGAACCTCAGAATTTGTCTTGTTACCTTTATTCTGACATTTTGACTAAAAATGTGATATCAAGATTTCCAAAGTATATGGTACCCATCATTTATAATGTTTGGGATGTTTATTGAAACAGTGGGTGTTTTATTGCTTTCTTCAGGGGGCTGCTAGGTCTTAGATATAATTTGTTGATAAAGAAACATGGTTGTTTTGAAACAGATGAGCATAGTAATTTTTAGAAGTTTGTTATCTAGATATGAATCTTATATTGTATTTAACTATCATGTAACTTCCCGATCATCTTTTGGACTGATATTAGTTCTGCCATTGATTGTTCTGCTAAATATCTTGGATTTGTATTCTTGTATATGATGAATTCTGAAGTAATTTTTTGTGTTTTTCCATTTAAAGGGAAAGTAATTACGGCTGCTGCCTTCTCGGCTTATAAAGAAAATTGATTCTATAATGTTGACATCTAACATCTTATGAATTCCTGCAGTTTACTCAATTCTCTGTTTTTCAGGCAAGTGGTCGTTATCTTTCATTCACAAATTTCAGAAGCATTTTCAAGATTTGATATAAGCACTTCACAAGCACAGAATAGGTATTTATTTTTCCCAAGTTATATTATTTGAATCTAAAATTTTCAGACTATTCTAAAAGTTCTTCTATCTTGCTAGGTTATATCGGGACATCAAACATATTCTCCAATGCATACGGTCATTACCATCGGGTGATTTAAGTAAATCTGATACCCCTAACTGGGGTCAGCTGGACGAATTCTTGGTGCAAAGATTTGGGAATGATGCTGTTCAGTAAACTGTATTGTAAAGTAACAACTCATTGCTTATGTGGGAAGGCTAACCTACTTTAGAGGATGTGGGGGTGATTTAAACCTTCTTCACTCTGCATTTTTTGTAACACTAAGTTGAGGTAATATTTCCGCTAATAAATTTTCATACAAATTTGAATATAGAGCCAGTGCCATGTTGTATTTGAAGGTGTTTCACTTTCAGATGTAATAATCCAGCTTTAGTGCTATGAAACTATAGTCTTTCTTGTAACAATATTATGCCTGACTTTTATTTAGGGTGTGTTTGGTAGGAGGGAAGGGAAGCGATTATTTTAAATTTAAGTTGTTCAGTTCAACTTTTAATAGGGGATGGGAGCAATATGAATCTTTGTTTGATAACTACAAATTTTAATATAGAGCCAGTGCCATGTCGTATTTGGAGTTGTTTCCCTTTCAGATGTAATAATCGACAGCTTTAGAGCTATGAAACTCTAGTCTTGTAACAATATTATGCCTCTTTTATTTAGGGTGTGTTTGGTTGGAGGGGAGGGAATGGATTATTTTAAATTTAAGTTGTTTAGTTCAATTATTAAATAGGGGAGGGGAGCAATATCCCTCCAAAAGCCAATTTTAGCTCCCCTCCAAAATGGGGGGGATTTGGAAGGAGAGCATATTTCTTTTCCATTTGGACTTAAATGTCCATCTCATTCCCTCGTCGAGCCAAACAATTTTTTAAAATCCCTCTCATCTCCTTCCCTCCATTCTGTTGAACCAGTTTTGCAACAAATTACTAAGCGAAGATTGTAAACGGATTAATGGTAACACATGAAAATGAAAAAAAGATAATCAGGGGAAATGCACACCAGAAACAACTTTGTATTTTCTTGCAGGTTTGTTTGGTTGACAGTTAACTGTTAACTTCATTTGTATTTGGTCGACTGACTGATATATTGGGCTAAGGGTTTGTACAGGTAAATGATAAATAAAACAATGTTGTTCGTTCAAGGCGGCAGTTGCTAGGTGGCAGATTTCTGTTTGCTTTTGTTTGTTGCATAGATAATAAGAGACCTATCATAAAAACTTGAACTTATTTTTGTTTTCTGAAGCATATATCTGGAAACAATTTCTACCCAATTATATATTAGCAGCCTTTCTATTTTTTCTAATGAGTTTAAATTCTATTATTTTTCAGGTCTTTGTTTGGTCTATGGTAGATATACAGGGTAATGTATCATTTATGGGCATTTTGTAGCTGTGATTGGTCATTTTACAGAAGTTTTGTAGCGGTCATTGTTGATATTCAATTCTTGGTTGCTGTCTCATAATTGTAATGTTTAGCTGAAAATAGATATGAATTAGTAAATGAGTGAATTTTCTTCCTCTTATTCTCCTATTCGTTACAGCCATGATTATTATTAATGCATCAATGTGTACATGAATCGAGATATCTAGTGAAATTACTAAACTATATGCTGTTAGAGGGTATACTTCGGTTCCCTTAATAAAGAAATCTCCTCGGTATTCCTTGAGTAATGAAACTCTTTCAATGGAAGAATCCCTATTGTATATATGTACATTTTGTAAAGGGGTGAAAAGATAGGACATTTGTCCTAATTAAAAATAACTTAATAATGCAAGATGTGCTAGGAGTGCTGAAAAAGAGTGCATTCTTACAATCATAGATAAAACTTGGATATTTTGAGAAGTATATGCATTTTTAAGTGTTAGATTCTTATTTCTTGATTGTATACAAAGTATGCTGCTGTATCTTAATAGATTTCAACCATATATTAATTGGTCGTGTTCTTTCTTAGGCAGATTGTCAAAAACTCAGGTAGAGTTTGCTTAGATTTTGGTCCCTGTTATTATGGCTCATTTCTGTTTTGGTCTCACTCTTCTCATTGGGTACAAGCTTTTATCATTTTCATTCCATAAATATAAAAATCAGTATTCTATCATATCTATGGAACATAAGAACCAGTTACTTTTGGATAAGAAATTATAGACCAAGTGGATGTTTGGCTTTCTGCTCTAGGTCCCTCAACTTGAATGGAAAAATCCTTGATGTTTGATCTTCATATTTTTCACAAACATGTGGGTTTTTATTCGGGTCATCATAATTAATAACAGTTATGATGCTATAAAATTTGGAGATAAAACTCCGGATTTAAAAATAAAAAGATTAAAAATTTATTTTAAAAATAATGACTAATTTTGAATATAACAGGAGATTAAAAGGTATGTTAAACCTGATTTTTAATATTTAAATGTGATTCAATATAAATTAATAATATATTAGTAAATCAAATTAAAAATAGCATTTAGAGACATACGTAAAATGAAAACTTTTAAAAACTAATTATAACAATTATATCAGCTGGTTGAGAAAGTAAATCAACAAATATAACTAATCAAATTAAAAATAGCATTTAGAGACATGTGTAAAATGAAAACTTTTAAAAACTAATTATAACAATTATATCAGCTGGTTGAGAAAGTAAATCAAACAAATATAAATATACATCAACATCAATTAAGTTTTATTTCACTAAGTAAGGTCTGTTATTTGAATCAAAACAACATCAATTTTTATTTCACTAACGGTTACTTGAATTAAAACTATGTTATGATGTTAATATCCCTATCCAATTCATTAATCTCTAGAGATTTTAAATAGTTTTTCTTATATTTTTTAGGTATCCTTTTATGAATTTTTTTAGCAATAATTTATTGTTTTGAAAAAAAAAATACAAATAACCATGTTTCGGAAAAAATTACGCAAATAACCATGTTTCAGAATACACATCAATGAAGACGCTATCTCACTTGACGCATGCACTCACCTTTTTGTCTTAGGCGTCATCTTAATTGGCGCATGCACGATAATATGAAAGAAGGTGTCATTTGAGATGGCTACTACGTGCAATTATGTTTTCTATAAATAAAGCACCTATTTTTCTATCATTCTTCATACTCTCACATTCTCTTCTTATTTTCTCTCTGTTTTTTGTATTATGACATCTCCCATGATTTATACCAGAGATGGGTATGTTATTTTCTCGGCCACCAAATCTCTGATAAAAATAAAATTTTGGCACATTCACTCCATGAAGCGTCTGAAGAGAGAGTTGATGTGATTGCTTCAGAGAGACACCGAAGTTGGGGAACAAATTAGAAGGATCAAGAGAAGAAGAACAATCACCTCACTTGCAACTGGAAGACCTCAATCTTGGATGGAGGAAGTTATAACAGATAGAGATGTAATGGTGATGATGTATGAGTCAGATAAAATTGTTTTGACGGTTGTAATTTCTTAGATGTTTTATCGTGTTGTTGATGTTATATTTACATGTTGTATTTTATTGTAATGGTGATGATGTGTTTTTATTTTTTGTTTGCGTATGGTTTATTGTAGCAAATGCTCTTAATTAAAAAATGTTATGTTTAAATATTAAAAAAGTGCAAATAACTTGCATACAATTTTTATGTTGTCGAGCTTGTAGTACGAGTGAGACAATTTTTTCGATTGTGTTCGATCTGATGGCATAAACCACACTTTCTTTCTAGCTTGTCAAGGGAGTCCATTTCAGTTGTGATACACTTGCTTTTGAGACGATCCTTTTTATTTTGTATTTGATCATTGTACCATACTATTTCTCCTTCGTATGTAGGTTAATAATCAGGTTTCGTTACCATTGGAAAGCTATTGTTGTATACGCTGAGCAAAGTTTCAGACTTGTAAATGGGAGATAAAAATCGTAATGGATCTTGATGAGTATATGTACATGCCGCAATGACATGAGAGCAAGGCATACGAAAGACTTGAAACTTTCCACAATCGCATCAATAATATAGTAGTATAACCCTATACTCTTGTCTTGGAAGCCCCTCGTCATGGTCGATTATCTATTTGACAATGAAGCTGTGGCTATATCGGTCGAATCTTATAACAAGATGGGTGTTGGCTTTGGCACCTTCTGCCTTAATATATTTCATGCAACTTTCACTCCATAGTTGTCCCGATTGTAAGACCTCATTCCATATTTCACCTCTTTTTGCAAACAACGAAGCCATCCTAAAATATGTTTATTTCACCAAAGCGGTTACTGGAAGGTTTCATATGTCTTTAAATACACCGTTCATTGATTAACTAAGATTTGTTGTCATGTGGATTCATCGTTGTCCATTGTCGTATGACTCTTTCCATTTCTCCACTGGAATATTATTAATCCACATACTTGCATCCAGATTTAACAATTTGATCTCGTTGCGATAATGTTTGAACAAAGGTTGTGTTAATGCATACCCCACGTTCATAACTATTTTTCTAAGAGCCATGTCTTTGATCTCTCTCGTAAAATTTTGTACGATATGTCTAATGCAGTATACATGTGTAGAAGGAGGGTCGTGCTAACCATGTGCATGATTATTGTATGCACTCTCAATAGATACATGTCTGTCGGAGATCAAACAAAGACCAGGTTGTGGAGCCACGTGTGTTCGAAGATTCTTGAGAAAGAAACTCTAAGCATCACTAGTCTCTCCCTCGACTAGAGCAAAGGCAATTGGGAAAATATTGTTGTTTCCATCTTGTGAAACTACCATCAATAGTGTGCCTTTGTGTTTTCCGTACAACCAAATTCCATCTATCTCAATAATAGGTTTGCAGGATGCAAACCCTGTGATGCAAGATTGAAAATCCCAGAACAGTCGACTGGATATTCCATTTCCGTTGACAGAAGTCCCATCTAAGGCATACACCGACAATGTTTCCATAATATAAACAGTTCTATGAGCATACGTCTGAAGTGCATGCAGGTAGCGCATTAGTTCTTTGTATGACTCCTCCCAGTTTCTATATACATTTTCAATCACCTTGGTCTTTGCTAACCACGCCTTTCTGTATGATGTAGTATAATTGTATATTGTAGTGATGTGAGAGATTATGGTTTTCATCTTCAATGACAAATCATTGCTGACGAGAGGTAGGATTTCTTGACATATTAGATTATAATTTAGTTTACCATGATCTTGTGATTGAGTAGAATTAACGCACGTGTGGGTGGATATATAACCTATCACCCAATAACCACTTCTCAACCTGTATGATGCGGTGAGCCTCAACATACAATCTGAGTGAACACATTTGAGCTTGTATCTTTCTGGATTTACCCGATCTACCTTAAAATTGACAGAGTTTAACATGTGAAATTTTTTTATAACTCACATATAATCTCCTCTTGAACAAAATTTGTCTTTCTATTTTAAATTTTCATCTGACTGCATATACGAGTTGAAAAAAACATCTGATGATGGTTCATCTCTGCCCATGTTGAAGTTTGTCATGTGTGAAGGTGGTGTGTAGATTTCATTTGAAGGTATTTCAGGTAGCACATCATCTTCAGAATAATTATTGATCATATTGTCAAACTCTAACTCTTTATCTTACTCTTCTTCGCCAACGACATCTACTTTTGCTTGTTCGTCTTCGAGAAGATCAACCACTTTAATTGAGTTGGTTGTGACAACTGAGGCTCATGCAGCATAATGTACAACTTATAAAATATTATTTGGTTCTCACAAAAAAAAAAGATTTTGGTAGAAGATGTGTGACACTCGATCTCGTTCAAGTTTGAGCTCCAGTCGTTTTTTGAAATACGAAAAATTAGCTTTTCTGTTTAAACAAAATCAGATGTTATAAGTGTTTCTAAATAAAAAAACCAAAGATATCACAATTGTACGTCTCTCCATTGAAATGTGTACTGATAACATATTGTGTTGCAGAGGACATTGTGTTTGCGTGTTTGAGTGTGAGAATTTGTTTGAGTGGTGATAACATAAGGTGCATGCAGAAGAATAAATAACGTGTAGATGAGACAAACAAGACAAATTTGATCTACTAATGAGGAGCCAATTGGGATGGCAAATCCTCATGTAATTGGCCTAAGGTGCCAACCGGGATGGCGCATCCCTTATAGGCCTGTTACCTAGCATGCATGCCTGCCACCTACATTACGCCTGCACGTATACTTCCACCCTAAGTCTGGCCCACACACTTCGAATGACGCATACACTATAAAGTGTATGGAGGCGCCAACCCACTTAGCGCATTGGTGACACATGTTCTACATGCATAGAACCCCCAACCACTTCATTAACTCATCTCTATACGAATTCACCTGTAAATATGGCACCTCAGACACTTGTTTTGCATCAGCAATCCTCACTCTCTTTGATACAAACTCTTTCATTATCTTATACAATTTTAAATATGGTTCTTCTCACAATGGACGGTTCTCACAGAGGAACAAGACAAAACATTACCGCATTTGTAATTTTCTATCATTTTATATATTCTTTTATCGCATATATAAATCAATTATTTTATACATTTTATAAACTCTTACACTGTTTACATTTTGAATTTAGGATACTAAAAGATTTAGATGCTGCTCACACAACTACATTACTCCGGACCCGTTTATCGTCCCATATCTAGAATATGCCAGTTTTGGAAAAGTTATAAAAATCTCTAACTGCACGATTGATTCCAAATTTATTCTTGCAATGTTGGAAAGATGGAGACCCGAGACACACACCTTTCA